TACGACTTTGTAGGTATGTGTGGCAGATACCCAACGGAAAAACAACAACTAACCCAGCTAATGCCGCGCAGAGAGTTGAAGTAAAACCATCAGGCACCTGTGCAACGTCTTCGACTTGGAATACTCGTCGCAAGTTATTTCACATTATGAAAAGCAGAAATTAATTTCGTTTGGTCGATCCGACCAACTGATAGACCGGTTTCGGGGTGATTGCCCCATCATCACTACCGGGCATGGTCTCTTCAGAACGGTGTGAACCGTCTGAGTATCACGACCAAATATAATTCCAGCTAGTCATAGAATCTCTCTGCAATTGATTCAGTGGGATGTCCCCTCTTCAACTCTCTGCGCGGCATTAGCTGGGTTAGTTGTTGTTTTTCCGTTGGGTATCTGCCACACGTACCTACAAAGTCGTAGGTCTGCATGAGAGGAAAAGGGGCAACCTTGAGCATGTCATATATGAAATCGAGAAAGGAAGGTTAATACAGTCAAGCTGCTGGAAAATAATTCCATTAAAATCGAAATATAAATAGACAACTACTATTCTGATCATTCCCATATCGATTTCAATTTAAGAGCCACCGGTGGACAGCTGTTTCAGCCTGTTGGGTACCGCCTGCCCGGTACTGACAATGCAGGTTTTTGACAAGTCATAACATACTGGTGCATTCACCTCCCACCTGTTTAGTTCAGTAGTTCATTGAGAAAGAAGAAATCAACATCATCTCTTATACCTTTTTGATCTGAAATTCAATGTTGTCTATTTTGGATTTGTTAATTTCAATAAACAATCTAGGAGTAATTAGATGGGTCATTTACAGAACCTCCATTATATATTGGGATTATCAGATAGTGGTTTTGAAAAAGTCAGGAATTGTCACCTTAGAAGTTATGAGAAAAGGGACAATCATTTTGACAAGTTGAAACATCAATTTCACTTTAAAAAAATTCAAACAATATTTTTCCTATTTAATGTGTACCTACACCTTTTTGCTTTCATACAAGGTTTACTTGTCAAAAATACCGATACTATCAGGTCATTCAGTTTTCGCAAATGATTCCTCTGAACTGGAAATGACTGAAACAAAAAGCAGAATAAAACTTCAGTAAATAAACTGGTAGTAACAGTAACTTTACATTGATGGTGTCCTCACCTTGTCGTGGTGATGGGGCTTGCATACTTTTATGAGAGCCATGCCGGCGGTAGCTTAGCTACTGGTATCTGCGGCACCGAGAGTTGGAATAAGTTTGTGATAACCCTAGCCTATTGTAAGAGATAACCAAAACGGGGGTGGTGTTACGCGGTCGGTGCCGAAAGATCCATGATTCCTGAGCCTCATCAGGTATCAGCAACTTAGCCTCTGGGATACCAGGCGATCTCTTATGAGTATTTAGCCCCCATTCTCGTAGGAACTCAATGGACCACAACTATAAACGAAAGGAGGACTCTTTAGGAACTTTGACTCGCAATGAGAGAATAAGCCAACCCACAACATATTAAGTTTCTAAGTTTCTTCAACAGTACTTACAAAGGTTATAAGGTTATGAAAGATAATGGGATTGAGAAAAATCCGGGGGTAGTTGATTTACATGCATAATTATCTGAAAAGGAATGAATATATTGCCGTTGAGTAACTTTTGTACCAGGGTCTTGACAGCAGTCAAACTAAAAATAGCTTCTGAAATCTTATTGAGTCAACGTAACTTCCTTACAATATTCAGGAATCACCATAAACCAAGGATGTGGATAAGCTAGTATGCAGACAGATCACAGCTCATAATTGGCTGTGAAGCCAGTACGCACCTCCTGATCTGGAAGAGCACTAACACCAATGAAAGAGGTGAGCATTTACTGCAGTTTAGTATGGCGAACAATTTGAAAACATTCCAAACATAGATAATAAACCTACCTAGGAAAGTGATAGATCTTACATCAGGTACCTTATTTATGAGTAACTATGTTGAGAAATGGAAAGCGTTTGATGAGAAACGTTTTCCAGATCATCAACTTCGGAAACTGGAGGGTCTTATACCTCGATAACTCATTAAAACTCCAGAAAAAGATCTGGGGAACATAAAAGGCAGACCTGGAAGTTTGCTTAAATCGGATAGGCTTTCTATGATGAGATTCTTCAAGAGTTAGGAGCAGATCTATTACAGATCTTTACATACAAGAACATTGCACCATCGTTAACCAGAGATCAAACAAGAATTTTTCCTAGCAGAAGGAAGATCTGGCACAGATGAGACAATAAACCAGATCCATGTCACTTTCCTGGGTCAGAAACTGCAAATGTAACACATGATTCCTGTACAAATTCAGAACTGGAGGTCTCCCAAAAGGGCGTTCAGGAGGAATTGTCTGGTGGTGAAGAAATTAGTAGATTAAATGGGGTGTAAACTAATTCCAATCGTATAAGTCACCGGGATCAGACGACAAAAGGGGCCGGAACTTCTACTTAAAATTTTGCTCTGGAAAACAGCAATAACATGGAAACCGATCAGTTTCACCTTCATTCCAAAACCTGGAAAACTATGACAGGACTCATCAAAGGCCTCAAGACAAATCAGTGCCATTTGCAAAAAACTTCTTGACAAGCATATTAAGGACAGAACTGGCTATCATCGAGACCAATATGTATACAGATCAGGTATGTCAAAGGAAACATCTTTATACCGGGTCACAAAAGAAGCATAATAACCTTACAAGAACGAGGAGGTGCTTTTAGCTGTTTTCTTAGTTATAGGTTGATAATATCTTCCTTGAATCAATCATCCAGGCGTTAAGGAGCACAGGGATTGACTACACAAACTGCAGGTGGATGGACTGCATGCTCAGAGGAGGGTTTTGTCCCACTGTTATAGAACCTTGTAATGGACGAGATATTCGCCTTCTGGACCATAGTAGGCACTCAGATGAATTGGTCTTTCTAGTTCAGGAAGAGTGAAAAGAAAACAGAGGTAGCACTGATGCTGGCCATGCTCATCATCTACGGAAGAGACATGAAGGCTGAAACCAGACATGATGTATTGGCTGTACACCATGGTCTTTGGACCCATGTTAACTATGCATCTATGATCTGATGGCCAAAGATGAAACAAACGACCTCTATTCAAAAACCAATTGGAGTGAAAAGATTTTCATGTTTGAGAATGATAATAGGTGCAATGGAGATACTCCAATACAGCTGTTGAGCTGGTACTCCTTCACATCTTGTGAAGGATGGATGGTTTCGGTGAAATCAATTTTTTAGTATTAGTATTATTGTACTTTAAATGTAAACAAGTGAGTTTTTCCATATGGTTTGTAACTGTCTTAAGGAAATAAATTACTATTACCATTACATCGAAACCAAGGTCCGATTGTCCCAATGGAAGAACACAGGAGAGTCAAGACCAAAAAAGCATACCAAGTTCGATCAAATGTCAAGGTTTGGCTCACTGTTTTCTACGATTAACATGGCGTAGTGCATAAGGAGTTCTAAAATGTGGTTAGTCCTTATTATAAAAATAATTTTGTGCTTAAACAATGTAACTGATATTTTTTTATAGTGACCCACATTTCAGGCTGATGTTCAAAGTGAAACAATTAAAATGGAAAAAGAAGTTTTGAAGTTGCTACGATTCATGAAGAGGAATAAAAGCGAATTCGCTGACGAATCTCAAAATTGTTCTGCAGGGAATAAAGCATTGACATGCTTTTGTGAAACTGTGTGTCCTAAGACTGTTAGGTTTAGTATTAGTGAGTCTTCTGGTAGTTGAGAGTGTATATACTGGCGGATAATTTTATAATATATTCAAAATATTTTTTAAATTTGTGTTTTTTTAATTTCACACGAGTTGTGATATTAGAATTAGTTATTCTTGGTTAAAGAAACTGCGGATATGGTGAAGAGAGGCCATCTACTATGTAATGGAAGTTTATTATTCACATGTGAATCCTATCAGGAATTGCTCTGAAACTACGTCAAATGAAATTTTTTCTGACAGAATTTTACAATTTTTGGACCTGTTTTGTTTTGGAGGCCTTGTATTATTTGCATTATTCAGTCATTACACCTTGGGAGGATGATTTCAAAACACTTTGCATACACAAGGAGATCAGATAATTGGTCTGATGAGTAATCCTGTTATGAAAAATGAAATTATGTTTGAAAAAGAAAGTTCCACATTTTGTTTGGACATTGTATTATTTGCATTATTCAGTCATTACACCTTGGGAGGATGATTTCAAAACACTTTGCATACACAAGGAGATCAGATAATTGATCTGATGAGTAATCCTGTTATGAAAAATGAAATTATGTTTGAAAAAGAAAGTTCCACATTTTGTTTGGACATTATATATTTATATGTTCTATGTATTGTACATTTTGGATTTGAAAGAGAAAAGTCTATATGCAATGTAAATTCAGTGCAATACACATTTCTATAGAAAGTGGAAAAGGAATATGAAGAAAGTATCCCCCTAGAAAATTATCTATTTAACTATGAGTGATATATAACTTGAACGACTATTACTCCAGCATTTGCCGCTGGAGGTCATAACTGCAAACTTAATATTGAGATAAGAGTCCTAGAACAATTGTTAAGGTAATAGTGCATTGAAATTTTTCAGAGGTCATCTATTACCTAGAAGCTAAAATAAAATTTTCAAAGTTTTGTAGCCAATTCACTATCAAAACTTTTGAAATATTCGACTAGATGGGGCAGTTATTTTCAAATCAATTTAAATTTGTTGAAAAAACGTCCTTTTTGATCTTTTGTTGTGCATTTTTGGAAATCTGTATCATATCTTCAGAGTTTTTTCCAGCATACTCAATCCTCTTTGTACCTTTCACACCATAGACGTAAGCAACAAAAATATCAATCCCGACATAAGTGAGACAGTTATTTACAACTTATTACGAATTCAAAAGGAATGAACAAGTTGTTACTTTGATTTTATATTAACTGCTGCCTGCGACCTCTGCCTATCTCTCATTTATAAGAAAATGGTTTTATAAACTATACCTATATTCAAATTTATTTGAATATAGGTATTGAAATTTTGTCAAAAATTCTCTAAGGCTATGGAATAAATGTATAGAAATATATTTTTAAGATTCCTTCAAGAGAAATTAGTCGACAACTACATCTAAGTCACAGATAAGCAAAGGCAGAAACTGAAAAAGTATGGGATATCGAACATTCAAGTATCACGTACATCAACATGTTGACGATAGTGATACCCTAGGTAAAGTTTTGTGATTGGCTGCTTAAAATCATATAGATAACTCAAATTTTGTCAACTTTATAGACAGATTCACAAATAGTATTATGGAGAATATTGGGCCCAATATGGAGATTACTCCATATGCAACATATAAAATGAGAGAAGGCAATTTTCAAAAAAGATTTGCCATCGATGTCTGAGCTAGAATCTTTGGAAACATATAATAAAGGAATAACAGTCACATAGGTTGTTTGTAGGCTCGATACTATACACTATACAGGTTTTTATTCTATTTTTATTTTTGACCTACATAATACACTTCTGTTACATTCAATTTATTGGGTTCGTACATACAGTGTAATCCAGAAAGTATGCACCATATGGGAAACTTATTAAGGGTTTTTCGGCAAAAAGTTATTTATGATAAAAGATTGTGCATCTCCTAAAACTAAATATGCACCAAAAAAATACAGTAAAACACACGTAATATACGAGGAGCCTTCAAATATTTGATTTTGAGACAAGAGTAAAGTATTCTTATTTTGAAAAATCTCAGAAAATGTTATTTAGAAAAGTTGTTCGGCATTGAAAAATACATCTAGATTTGAAGTCATGGCCATATGAGTGAAGTTTTATTCTTTTACCCATTAATTTTAAATGGGGACTATGAAAAAAAATTGCTAAAACGATAAATAAACAGCATCCTGTATACGACGGTTTATTTTAAAAGCCTGTAATATTACAAATTACACAACTATGGTGTTAACCACGGTCAATTTTTTTGAAGAGTAAAATAATTTTCAAAGTTTTTGGTGCAAAGTTATTTTTATTTTTTGTTAACACCGAAAATTACTCGAAATTATACTATTTTGTAACAAGAACTTAATATTCAATAATATCAAATCACAAAACATCAAAATAAAATAAGTATTTCGGAACAAACTCATTGATTTTCTGGAGATTTTAGGAGATGCACAAACTTTTATCAAGAATAACTTTTTGTCAAAAAACCCTTAATAAATAAATTTCCCATATGGTGCATACTTTGGGGATGACATTGTGTAAGAAATTACTCATGCATTTGTCTCTGTCTGAATTTCTCTCAGTATATTTACGGTTGTCTTCGTTTCTTTATCAAGTTCTAAAATAATTGTTCATAACTTCATCATCTATTCATTGAGTTTTTAAATGATGAAATAACAATTCTTATCCAATGTATTCATAATTTAAAATACCTCTAGGCCAGAAATCACTTGTGTATGCTTCTGCTTTCATTTTATAATTCAATTCAATTTTGAAACGGTTATTGTATCAACTTTTCTGTGCTCATTTCGTTTATGTAAACTTGATTTTTGCTATAAGTTTCACCGTCAAAATTGGAGTTTTTTTGTTATTATTTCATCTGTTGTCACAATCTACCGTTGTTTGTAGGACTTTCATTAGTTTGCTTTTTTCCTGTACCTTGGACATTATTTATGTTTGCTTTAGATAAAACATGTTTTTCAAAGATGTTATTTTTTCAAGTATGAAGATTTATATTTCTTTGCTGGCCATAAAGTCTTTATTCTTTTATTCTTAATTGTCTACATAAATAGTTGGTATATTTCTTGCATATGCATTTGTTCCTTTTTTTCAGAATGTCGATTTTTTTATTTTGTCATTTCATAATGCACATTTCAATACCCAAAGCACAACATGAGTGATATACTTTCACACAATTTACGCCTTTGGCTGCATTTTTCTTAGAATATTTGAAGATTTTCTTAGAATGAACAACCATCAAAACTATCCACCATCTTAGAAAAAAAATGCTTTTAATTTGTTTATTGATTTTGAACATCCTATTGATATGGCAACTAAAATAAAGTCATGAATCAAAATAGTTTTCACCTGTTTGGGGATTTCATTGTTGAATTCATCCAACCGGACACTTTACTGATTTGAGAAGCTTTTTGGTAGTAGCAAAACTTTAGATTGAATAAACTGAAAATAACTATTTTGTACACCAAAACTTTCCTCTCTGTTGACGCCAAACAAATGTATGACAACTGTATGAAACAACGGTATGAAAAGAATGGTTCATTTAGAAAATCCAACATTTATAATCATCGTTCTCCTGTCTTGATTTTTCATATTCAATCATCAATGTGTAGATTTCTTCACACAATTTCTACAATACCGAAACGAACAAAGTATTTCGATAATAAAGGCGAGCAAATTTATTCAGAATTTATACAGAATCGTTCGGCAATCAATGTCGAAAGCTTGGCTTTGCAACTGACCGTCTGGGGATCCTTTTTTATCCTTTTTATTCATTTATTAGGTCTTCTATCATTTGAGGACAGTTCAGCCTAGCACACTGATGAGACCTTGGCGGATCGAAACAGCAATAGCTGTTGTTGGACCTCCAGCTCCATTTTCATCCAAACTGAATCCATGATAATAATTATACAATTTTCACAAAGATTTCAATTTCTAGACGTGTTTCGCTAATACCGTAGCTTCCTCGGTAGAAATCAAAATATTTGTGAAAATCGTATAATTATTATCGTGGATAGTGTTACTATTTTCATCAACTAACGGGTCAGTCCATTCATAATCTAAAACTAGAAAAGATATCTAGAAAAAGATATATTTTTTCGTGTCATTCACGTGACGTGGCGTTAACATCCAATGTTACTGTCTCTTGCTACGGCATGCATAGATAACGGCTCGGAGGATTTCGAAATTTGTGTTGGAAATTTCATTGATAAATTTGATAACTTTTGATTTGCAACGCTGATTTACAGAAACCAAACAGCAATCACTGATGGACTTTTAAACTTTTATAATAACCTAAGCATACATATTGTTGTAAATCATCCCCTGAAAAAGATATCGACGGCCGCCGCTAGTTTTCGTAAATCAATTGTAACGTGGCCAAGATCGCGCTCAGCTCGACTTGCGCTTCGCGATTGTTCTTGTTTTCGCTCGCATCAAGATACCTCCAGCGACTTCCCTATTGGCTTCGTGGATGATTCTATCAGCTTCCTAAGACTTCCACTACCCATTCGCATATCGAAAAGTATAGTGGGCAGTGCGATTCGAAGTGATTTAATAAGGCGATAGACATTTGAATACTACTTTGAAGTTTCAGTTAAAGTGTTTGATTGTATTGTCAGTGTAGCAGTGAAATAAAGTTATGCTCAATTGTACAATGTAGTCAATTATTGGCAAACCCATGGGAAAAATGTAACAATATTTACACTATACTTTCTTTTATTATGAGAAAATTTTGCAGTAATCCATTCTGAATTTCTTTTTGGGGTGAAAAACAAGAAGAAATAAAAGCTGTTATTGGGTTCAGTTAAACGAAAAGTGAGCCATTTAATATAACTTAAAAAAGTTACAGTATCTATAAACATAGAATAAAAAAAACTTTTTGTCTAGTTTCTACTATGTTCTATTTTTTATTTTTATTTTCCACTTTTTATTAACAATTGAAAATTAAAACAACGATAAAAATAAAATAAAAACAACAATAAAAATTAATTAGCGCTCCGGGGCGACTTCATTGATTCCAGCGGCGCATTTGCTTTTTCAGCTGCAGGAAAACCCGGAAAAACCTGCAGCACCACATCATCTGAAAATCTTGATCTAACAATGTCCTCTCTCTTATAAAACAAAATGTAGGGTGTCTCCAGAGGCTCCAATAAATTCAATGCATCGCCAGAACACTTCGTGACACGACTATCGTCGTGTCTACAAAATAAATAGATCATCAATCGAACAAGATAATATCTATAATCTCACTAGGTATAAAAAAGCGAAAATCGATGAAATCACTGCCATCTCAATCTATTGCAAATTTGATTTGTAGACTCATTTTGAAAAAAGTATGTTCATGATGTCATGAAAATCAAAGTGAAATTTATTTACAATAATACAAAATTTTCATGCTACTCTTGCTTCTGTGGTACTGGTCATGGGAAGATGTTTTCATGTTTTTGGCGGTTTCTTACTAAAAATAAAATGTAATGAGTACATTTCAAAAAATAATAATAAATCAACTTCTAACTGAAATCTATAACGATTCCAAGAAATGTTTTGGAAATTTTACCGTTCAAATTAAAAAAGAAAGAAAGAAATTTTATTGACCTCAAATTACAATTTCTGTTACATTCGAAAATATCTGCAATAACAAAATTTGCTCAAGTACGGGGATACAAAGGTTTACCTTCTATTGAGCAATTCCCAGCAAGCCATTAAATATCATTTCCCAGCATTTCAATACTATCATTTCAGGACATCCATTTGTATGCCATAGCTAAAGCCACTGGAAAGGATCTGTTCTGTAGAAGAAGAATCTGAAGATCTATTGGATTCCCTTCAGTCTTTGTTCAATCTGTTGAAGTTTCGAGTTTTGGAGGGTTTCGCTTGTCTGTTCAATTTTCATCTTTATCTCCATCATTCATCACTCAAGAGTTTCTAAAAATGTATTAAGATTTTTACTGATAATATTGTTTATTTTCCCAGGAAATAATGTTGCCTCAAACAAAGTTGGACTCAATTTAAATACATATACAACATTCTACTAAGCAGTAAAATCGGAGAGAATTTCATGATAACAAGCAGTTGGGACTTTTATTTGGGAAATAAGTTGAAAATTTGTCCATGCTACTGCATTTGGATAAAATTAAGGTAGGACTTTATCCAAGTTATCAATAACAGTAGTTATAAATTTATCATATATATGAGTAATATTCCGGAGAGGTGCATTGTGACATGCTCTGGGTTGCCCCTTTCCTCTATGCAGACCAACAACTTTGTAGGTACGTGTGCCAGATACCCAACGAAAAAAAACAACCCAGCTAATGCCGCCCAGAGACTTAAGTAAAACCATTAGGCACCTGTGCAACGTCTTCGACTTGAAAGATTCGTCGCAAGTTATTTCCCACTATGAAAGGCAGAAATTAATCTGACTTTATGATTAAGCTATGACTATCTGGAGTTATATTCGTTTGGTCGTGATACTCAGACGGTCACACCGTTCTGGAAATACCATGCCCGGTACTGACGATGGGGCAAATATCCCGAAACCGGTCTATCTGTTGGTCGGATTGACCAAACGAAATTAATTTCTGCTTTTCATAATGTGAAATAACTTGCGACGAATCTTCTAAGTCGAAGACAAAAAGGTTGACTCCTCTGCTCGAGAAGGATGGTCCAGCAGGAGCGCTTTACAAATGCTCGGACTACGGTTGGATTAATGAGAATCTCTTTCTTGAATGGTTGGCGCACTTTAAACAGCACGCTAAGCCGTCTGCAGATGAACCCATCCTTTTAATACTAGACAACCATGCTAGTCACATTTCTCTTTCCATCTACAAATAATGCAAGTCCAATCATATTCATATGTTGTCTCTGCCACCACATACGTCACACAGAATGCAACCTCTGGACGTTTCTTTTTTTGGTCCGCTCAAAATGCCCTATAAAAAAGAATTTGATTCATTTTTGAAAAACCATTTTGCAGAAAAGATAACACCTTATGACGTAGCATCGTTGGTGAGAAAAGCATTTAATAATGTTGCGTCTATTAGTAAAGGTGAATCGGGTTTTAGAGCTACTGGAATATTTCCACTAAATCCGGAAGTATTCACAGAAGATTTCTTCGCTGCAGAAACTCTCCAATTTGAGACTATTGTAATCCAAGACTGCAATGAAACTCTCGCAGCTACCAGCATGATTCCCAGCACATCAAAAGAATTTCACTCACCAGTTCCGAGTACTTCAAAACAAATTGATCCACCGGTTCTTGGAATGTCTGAACGAGTAGGCCCACTTGATTCTGAACCAGATATTAGATCACCAGCAGCTGGCACGTCAAATCAAATTAGTGCTAATTTGCATTATTTGATCAAGTTGCCAGATAAAACACCTGTTATGAATACAAGAAAAGGCCAAAAGAAGCACCACACTACAATTTCAACTTCAACTCCAATCAAAGGAAAGCTGTTAGAAAAAGAAAATAAGAAAGTGAAAAAATCAGGGGATAAAGAAAAAGAAAAGAGATGGAAAGGTAAATGTCAGGGAAAAAAGACTACAATACAGAAGAGGGGTCCTGTAAATGCAAAGCGCCAAGTACTACAAGAAGCAAATGAAACTTCTGTATCAGATGTTGACACTGACGCAGAAGATGCTGGAAACAGATGCACCTCATGTGGACTATGGGCTCACGCGAAATGCACTGGGTGTAACTCAGCTGAAGGTTATGTCTGCGATATCTGTTTAAAAATCTGTTTTTCCGTTAATCAGCTGCCGCCCCCATACGAACGACAACTCTCAGAAGTTGAGAAACTTTTGCGAGCTAAGGACTAACGAGGTCTTACCTTTTATGTGTCTTACCTTATATGTGCTAGATTTTCTTTGACTCCGATTGCCCCCAGGGTGACCACCATTACCTTCATGTTGGTGTAATGGGAGTCAAAACTTTTTTTAAATTAATTTTATAATATCCAAAGTTGATTGCCACAGAGGCTGATGATTATTTCTAATGACAGTTAATTAAGTATATGACGTTTAAAGGCGGTTGCAATAAATACTTTGTTTATGATTACACTTTTATTCGAGTTCTCGCTTAAGTGACCCCCATTACCCTCCTTTACACTATAGAACGTAATTCTGGCGAATAGGCGCTCTATGTTCATGCATTAATAAGTGCATCAAGAGAGAAGTTGATAACCTATCATATGAGATATCGCTTGACCTCTGATCCTATTAAGGATTTGGGGGTTGGATTTCACCCCGCCAAGATAGTGGAAGTGAAATGATAGTCGACGGGTATGAGCGGATCTTTTTTCAAATGCTACTAATGGGAAACTAGCGACCCGCCCCGGCAACGTTCACAGCTTCTTTGTCAGTAGACAATACAAACATGTTTTCTTTAGAGGTTACTCTTGAAAGAGCGACATATATTTGGCCCAGTACCGCCGCTATGTTCCTGCATTTTGATTCTGTAATATCTTCGAAAATATTAATTCAAGTTTAACCTCTGAAAATATACCAGTATGAAGAAACAGTGATGAAAAAATAATTTAGTTTTGTGGACGAGGCTTTTTCCCCTACGGCTGGCGCCACAGTTGTAATATTTAAAAACCCTTTTTTTTGCACATCTACAACATAAAACGAACCTACATACATAATTTCAGCAAAAATGAGTCTTTCCTGAAAATGAATCCCTTTCACTTTAAATAAGATTCCTATGACTGGGATTGAATCAAATAAACGAATGAATGTCATTATGCACTGTTATGGAATACTTAAGTAGATTCATCTCATTTGTGACATAAAAACATAATTCTATGAGAGAATTGAGTGCTTTATCTTGTAATGTTATTCAGCTTGGCGCTTAAAAGGCAACACGGCAAGTGTCTTATTACGCAACAACGGATGTCTGTCATTGAGAATGACAGTGTTTCATATAAACGAAGTTTTACCTCTTTCATACACTATATTGTGTAGCAGTCCTTTGAATGATATCTGATTCAATTCCATAACGAATGTTTGGAGTACAAACTAAAGAGGAAAAAGTGTTTTTTGTATAATTCAATTCAATGTTGTTTCGAAAGTATTTTTTCTTTCCTGTAATTCAATGTCTATACTAAAGTAGTTATTCCGAAAGGGCTTCTTTACAGTTTGTGTCTAAGAGTTACCTCTTTGCATAATCTATACATCTCTGTAAAGAATTTATTTTGCTTTCTTCCTTTCTTTGGAAAACTCCCACAATTTTTTCGTATAATGATAGAAAAGTAGAAAGCCAAAACCTTTCTTTCCCAAAAATTGATCTCCCCTAAAATATACTCCTTTCAATTTAAAAACTATAATATATGCACACAAATACAAATCAACAGAATATAAATGTTTTTTTCTCATCACATCATTATTATTTAACCAGCTGCGCAACATATCATTTCTTTCTTGAAGTAACTTGCCTTTCCCTTGGAGATAAATATATTTGCATGTACAGCTGCTTCTTCCTAAAAACAAAACAGAACATTGATAACTGTTGAAATTGTTTTCAAATGGTAATATTTTTGGATTTTACAAAAGAACTTCTAGCATACTTTCAAAAGATGACAAGTTCTGCCTCACAGATTGAATTGATAGATCTGTTGTTTTCTATACAGCATATTCAAGAATTTGTTTTTGAATGCAACACTATATTTTATATCATAATTGGGGTTTTCATAAAATGTCATGGTAAAATATTGTATTCTGGATAATTCAAAATTTATAGTCTATGGAGTAGTAATTAAGAATTTGATACACTTTAAATAATAAAACAGGCACTGATGACCTTTGATGCATTAAAAATTATGTTGAATCTATTCTCAATGAGCTCAAATGATCACATATAGTATTTTTCATTCTGAGAGGATGATCTGTTGAGCACCAAATTGTGCAACTTTTTATTAGAATTTTGATCAACACGTTTTTGGGAAGAGATAGTCAATCAAAACTTAATACTTACATTTAATCTTGTAATTATTAGACGAACATTATAATTCGCTTAGCCTGAGTGGCAGCCTCAAACCCAGACTATTACTATCCAGCAAAAAGGGTAAATTATCGATATTTTGCTTCGCGTTGGAGATACCGAAATAAGTTAGAACCTTTTTTAGGTAATTGTTACCTTCCACAGTCTGAAAAAAATATAAAAATTATAATGGAGAACTTTATACAAGTGTAGAAGGACAAGCTTTTTAGTTTACCCCGATAAGTTACTGCGTAAAAATCAAAGTATTTTTCACAAAGAAAAATCTTCTATTTATCAGTAACTTGTCGTATT